CATCAAAGTAAACAAACTACTTTGTTTCTTATACATACCACACTTTGGCACCTAACTAAGGTTGTCCCCTCATACTAACATGGACCAACTTGTTTTTCAATACATGGAATATATATGATCTTCATCTTTTTTTTTTTCTTTTTTACTTTTTTTAGATACTCAATTTTTACTATTATTGTCCTATAGGCTTTTCAGCTTCAATAATTTCATTAATTGACCACACAAATTCTAAATATTATTTTTAAATTACGAAGTAGTGATATGTCTGAAATGAATGTGGAAGATATTACCTTATACTCTATTCGTTATTTTGTTTCTCCTTTCTTATATAAGTTGTTATTCTAATTATTAGTTGGATTAATTATTACATTCATTCTTTAATAATAGTCATTTATTGTTGTTTTATATAAGCCAAAATAATAATAATTTTTTTTCTATTTTTTATTGAATGATTTTGATGTTTTCTATTTTATCACCTTTCATTTTTATTTTATAATAAATGCATATTAGTTATCATATGTAAATTAATTAAAGTTAGATGAAATATAAGAGTACAATTGATAACATGACAATTAATATCTTGAAATTTAAAAATGACAAATAAATAAAAATAAAATTTTTCTAAAAATATGACATATAAAAAAGAACATGGGGAGTATATTTTTTCTAAAATATTCTTAATTAAGTGAGAATTCTTTTAGGAAAAAAAAAGATAATAAATGCTTGAAATTAATTGAATAAAGAAATTTTTTATTAAAATTGGAGAAGATAAATAGGTACATGGATATCTCTTTCTCGAAAACATCAAATAATTAGGTAGAAAATGATTAAGCGGAAGCTACTTAAAATAATGTTTGGCTAAGGAAAGTTAGGCTCCACGAATTCAAATTCACCTTTGGTTTTTAACTTAGAGACACCGTGTGGACCATGTTCATAAACAAAAAAAAAATAGTGGAAACAAAGAATATTAGATTAATAAATGTTAAGGGTAATTTTACAAAAATAGTCAAGAATTTTGACAAATTTAATGTTCTTAACTAAATTAACTTTCTTAAAGGGTGAGTTTAACGGAAAGAGTTTTTATAATTAACGACGAAGGTAGCATATTTGAAGTGAATTGTTAATGTGGATAATTAATTACTAATTAGTACTTCCTCTGCAGTGACTACATTTTAAAGTTATTATACATAGATTAAAGAAAACAATAAATGTACCACTTTTTAGTATATAATTTTACTAACATAGTCCAACCTTTCAATAAATGTATTACTTTTAAGAGTAATGATATACGTACAACAACTTATATAATATCACTTTTGTATTTATTTCTCTTTATCATTAATAATATCACTCTCCATAATAAATGAAGTAATGGAAAAAGATAGACACAAAAATAATATTGTACAAATTATTGTTAAAAAATTGTTGTACATGTAATATTAATTACTCTGCTTTTAATTATAGTGATTGAATAGTTTATAAATGGGCAAATTAGAAAAATATAATTAATGTTACATTGAAAAGTGAGAAAATCATTCATTTTAAAACATTTCGTAAATACTAAAATTACGGTCATTGTGAAGGTAGAGGAAACATTGTATTGGACTTTGAAGAATGTTGATTTGGTCATGCTTTCAAGTTCTACACATGTTGACTAATGCTTCGGTAAGAGTGTGTTATTAGATGTCATAAAACTAAGTGAGTACATGCATAAAACACCTTGACAAATAGTTAACAATGTCAGATAATAATGATGTGCTAGTATATCAATGTTTACATGTAGGAGTGACAATGAGTCGAACCAACTAAAAAATAGTTTGAAACTCAATTCAATAATTAACCTATTGAATTTGATTCATGAACTAAATGAGTTAAATTTGAGTTAAAGATTGAGCTCGATAAATAAATGAGTTGGACTTGAGTTGCGTATAGTTCAGCTCATTTGATTCATGAATCGATCCAATATACAAATATATAATTCATATAATTAACTTTCTACTTAATTTCAACTAATTAAAATTTGAAGAAAAAACTTTTAAGACATAGTTATAAGTTAATAATAATGAAAGAAGTGAAGACTTTAGAATATCATGGTTATGGATTGTGTTTTCTAATATTTTATGTAAGGTGAAGTAGTTTTTTATTTATACAGACTTTAATTATAAGTATGTTTCTTTAAAGTTGTACATTGTAACATTACAACACTAATAGAATAAGTTATATTTTATCTTTTAAAAAAAATAATAAACAATCACTTTATCTAAAATCTATTATTAAATTGAAGTTTTGAAATGTATAAATTGACTTTTGGTTCATATGATTTGAGCTAACCAACTATCAAGCTAACAAACTATCACACTAATTGATCCACATGTTTGGTAGAGTCACTATAAGAGTTAATATCAATTATAATCTAAGTATAAACATTAATTTATTACTTTTATGACTCTACATGTTATTGATTGTCTTTCAAAAACACATCTCTTAATTTGTATTTATTTTTTATTTATATAAATTACAATAACAACAAAAGAATTCGAATTTAAAACCTGATGAATATTACTTCAATCTTATAACAACCTGGTAGGTCATCGCACTTACTATTGAAGAATTAACATTTAAGCAGAAATTGAACATGCATAAAGTAAAATGTATGAAATATAAACAACATATATAAATCCAATACATAAACTATATACATCAAAGACTAGACTAATACAAAATATTCTCTATATAGTCGATCGAGGACTCCAAAATATGACTCCACTGAAAGTCATACAAAACAACCACCACTTCACCAACTAATTGCCTAATCCTACCCTATTCGCATAATCCTACCCTATTCGCATACTAAATATGGTCATCGTAGTCCAAACTACAAGGAAAAGAAGAGTAAACTTTCGAAAGAATTAACATACAACAATATATCAAAGTCAACAAAACATATATAAATGATAACATAATTCACAACTTAATTATATACTACTAGGTATCGACATAAGCTTCCCTTATCTCTTTGGAGAACCAAAATCTACAAAGAGGAGAATGGGAAAGAAGCTCTGCATGACTTTGAGCCTACTCCACTTGAGTCCTTTGAGCTTCTCTAATACCAAAACCCTCTTTTATCATTAAACAATTACATAAAAAAGAAATGAAAAGAGAAAGCCTCAAGAGAAGAAAATAGAAATCCCTCAAATAAAACTTCAGTCCTTACTAAACATGAGTATTACAAATCTTATATTTTAGGTTTTCTCTAGTGATTTATTTTCACGTTTCCTTCATTATCATGATAAATAATAAATAAATAAATATATATATATATATATATATATTAAAATTATATTGGTTCACGTTGTAAATGGTATAATTTTTAAATGTATAGTCAAGATGAAGAAATATTTATCACGTAACATAGGAGTTACTTACCAAAAATAAAATCATAATAATTATATATTTAATTAACTAAATTTAAACTTGTTTTATCTTTTACGTCATTCATCTTAATTTTCGTGTCCAATTTATAATAACAATGTTATTACCAATAGTGTGCTTGGTTTGGTACAATATCATGGTAAGAAATAATTAATTAGTTTTTATGGTGATATTAAAGTAACAAATAGTTTGTTTAGTACAATTTCACAATAAAAACAATTAATTATCTACTGTGAAACTAAAGAAAAAGTAGTTCTTTATATTTTTTCTTGATCAGTACAATTTCACAATAAAAATAATTAATTATCTACTATGAAACTAAACAACAAAGAGTTCTTTATATTTTTTCATGATCGATATTATTATAATTTTGTAGGGTAAAATCAATTATGACTTATATGAAAACAAATTATAAGGATTTATTCTCTTCTTATGACAAGATAATGATGAATTTTCCTCTGCCTAAAGATTTTAGAAAGACAAAAACAGGAACTCCCACTTCACTGTGGTGGTCAAAGGCAGACAAGCCCCCACTCTGTGAAGAATCAGAAAGTGGTTGATGATTAAATTCCAAAAATAAAAATGAAAATAAAAAGGCAAAATTCTTTATTGGGACTCATAAATCCTCTCTGCTGCTTCTGCAGCCTGCAGGTAGTACACTCTAGTGGATTAGCTGGCTAAAGATTGTAATCCTGGAACTCTAATGGAATATCACTCTCAATCTCAAATATATATATATATATATAGTTGTTTAATGACGAGTTGTGAATCTCCTCGAATTACCACATTCTTAGCACCTAACTCTTTGAGGATCTCGAGTCCAGTAATGAGCGCTTGATATTCGGTTTCATTATTCGAGTATCCTCTATTCGTTTTTAATGACAACTTAGTTGGAATTCCTTCAGGAGAAATGATTAGCAATCCTATCCCAGTACCTAACTCATGTTTCGAGCCATCGAAAAATAATTCCCAAGGTTTGGTGGTTAAGTAAATGATTTCTTCAGTTATTTTCGAATGATCTGCGAGCAAATCTGCAATTACTTGTCCCTTTGTGGCTTTTAAAGGCTCGAAAGTTAATGAATATTCAGTTAACGCAAGTGCCCATTTGCCAATTCGAGAATGTAAGATAGGTTTACACAACATATATTTAATAACATTACTTCGACAAAATATTACAACATCACAAGGTCTAAGATAATACTTCAACTTTGTACAAGCAACATAAAGACTTAAACATAATTTCTCTAAAGGAGTATATCTATTCTCAGCTCCTACTAACATTCGACTTAAATAATAAATGACTCTTTCGATGCCATTATCATCGTCTTGCGCTAGCATGCCCACAATAGTCGAATCGCTAGCTGAAATGTACAACTTTAGTTTTTTTCCTTTAGAGGGTGGTGCAAACACTGGAGGATGAGCCAAATAAGCTTTGATTTCATCGAACGCTTTCTGGTACTCTTCATCCTATCGAAATTCTTCCTCCTTTTTCAGACGCAATAGTGGAGAAAACACTTTAGTTTTGCCAGATAAATTCGATATGAATCTTCTCAGAAAGTTTACTTTACCTAGGAGAGATTGAAGTTCTTTCTTGTTCGATGGAGGTCTAGTTTCCATGATAGCTTTAGTCTTATTTCTATCCACTTCGATCCCCTTCTGGTATATGACAAATCCCAGAAACTCTCCTGCTGTAACACCAAAAGCACATTTTAGTGGATTCATTTTTAGACCATGTTTCCTCATTCTCTCGAAAGATAATTTTAAATGGCATAAGTGCTTCTTTTTTCGTTTTGACCCCACAATTATATCGTCAATATACACTTGTACAAACTTACCAATTAAATCATGGAATATTAAATTCATTGCCCTCTGATAAGTAGCACCTGCGTTTTTCAATCCAAATGGCATCATCACCCATTCATAGACGCCTAAAGCACCTGGACATCGAAAAGCAATTTTTGATACGTCATTAGCTGCAATATAAATTTGGTTATATCCAGAATAACCATCAAGTAAACTCATAATTTCATTACCTGCAGCAGCATCTATCATAGTCTTAGCAATAGGCATAGGATACTCATCCTTGGAAGTAGCTGTGTTGAGATCTCGAAAATCGATGCATACCCTGAGTTTTCCATTCCTTTTTATAACGGGCACGATATTTGATATCCACTCAGCATATCTTGAGGTTCTGATGAACTTTGTTTTCAATAACCTCTCGATTTCTTCTTTTATCTTTTCGATTACTTCAGGAGCGAACCTTCGAGGGCTTTGCTTAACAGGTTTCTTTCCAAGAATCATGGCTAACCTATGCTCAACCAATCCTCGATCCAATCCTGGCATTTCATTGTAATCCCATGCAAAGCAGTCTTTATATTCATGCAATACTCAAATTAATTCCTCCTTTAGCTTTCCTTGCAAGAGTTTGCTAATATAAGTAACCTTCTTATTTTCGATAGTTCCCAAATTGATTTCTTCAAGTGGGTCTTGAGATTCTAACTTATGTTCTTCATTGGTCGCCCTTTCAAATCCCAATGGCGAATCATCGAAAATACAATCTAACTTAAGCTCTAACTCTTGTTCTTTATCTTCTTTCAAAGTCTCGACCTCTTGGTCCATTCTATCTTTTTCTGTTTTTCGATTTTCTTTTTCCTTTTCAACTTCTTGATCCATTTGATTTTTCTCTATTTTTTCTTTTCCTTCCTCGACCTCGCGGTCCATTCGATCTTTCTTTGTTTTTTGTTTTTCTTCGGCCATCATCTCTAGATTCATTTGATATTACCTCTTTGTCTCGACATCCCTCGGCCATGTTGGCTGTTCGATTGGCCATGTAGGCCGACATTCGAGCTAAAAAGCTCGAATAAGGATCATGATCCTTCATTCCTCAACTGGAGCTAATTCTTTCTCGGCTCGAATGACAAAACCTCTTTTCACATCCCAGCAAAATATTTTCTTAATGCCTTCTTCTTCATCCATAACACCAGCATTGTGGGCATCAAAAGGCCTTGTTTTCGCAAATGCAGTTAATTGTTGATCTGCGAAATACATTCTTACCTCATACTCTTTCTGATCCGTATCGAGCACTTCCAAACCTTCATCATCATTCCAAAAGAAAATCTTTTGGTGAACAATTGAAGGGAAAACTTGTAACGACCCGGCTGGTCACTACACACACCACTGTACACCGGAAACGCCAGACAGAAAGGACAAGTATATAAATATAGGATCTAGAATATAAATATATACAAAGTCCCTATCCGACTAGAGTTAGAGTGTACAAAAACAAAATACATTATCAACGGCTACACCAAGTAGCTGAAAACAACAAAGCATCAACAAGGATCCAGCTCCGCCTGCCAGATGCAGACTCACCACTAGCCACCCGCCTAACCCTGCTCTGCTCCCATACATAGTATGATCATCGCAGTCCAAACCACATGGAGATGAGCTCGAAAACGGACGACCTACTAATCACGAGTGAACTACACGCAAAGTTCACATCGTGATAAGACCTGAACCTACTCTTGAAGGTACCCACATCTCCTCTAACCAACTCATACCCAGGGACAAAGATGGCGAAGAACAAAGAAAAAATAATAAATAAAAGGAAGGAAACATTTGATACTCAGTAAATTTTTTCATTTTGAAATTTATAATTCTTGAAAATTGTGATTAATAGAACTCATGAAAATTCTTGTAGTTAATCATTATATTTTTAGAAATATTTTTAAATGTTATTAGGTAATTAATAATTTTTATTGTATTAAATAAGTAAATAAAGATAATATAACATTTTTATTTATTAAATTTTTTATTTTTATTTCTAGAAAGTTAGTTTCTCACATCTCTATAGAATAATTTTGTGGAAAACCTATAAAAAATCATTCACATTCACATAAAACAATGTTTCTTAAGAATGCTTTTAAATAACAAACCAAATGTTGGAAAACTAACTTTTGATGTTGTAACAATATGGTAGATCACTACAATTAATATAATATAGTTTTCATGTAACGGAAAACATAAAGTAATTAATTACACTAATATTTTGTTTGGAGGAGGGAGAGGAATAAAAGGAAGGTTAAAAACCTATTTTCGTCCCTTACATTATTTAATATTTTCAATTTAGTCTCATTTTAATTTTTTGTTTCAATTTAGTCCTCAATAATTAAAATCGTTGCAATTTGGGACTTCAGTCCAAATGATTTAAACGGAGTTAACTGGTGGCCACGTAGATGCCAGGTGGATGCCACGTAGGTAGATAAAAAAATACTTGAATACAACTGGAACCAGAACGGCCCGTTCTGGTCCAGAATTTCGTGAAAAAAACCAAAGTACAAAGCATTTTTTTTAGGGAAAATACAAAGCATTTCAAACACTAGATTTAATAATATTGTTAATGAGGTTTAATAACTTCAATCGCTAAATATTTGGGCTATACAGTATATCATTAAGGATGATGCAGTGTATCACTAAGAACAATGAGAACAAGTTTTATTTCATTATTAGTCAAATTGGAGTGAACTACTTACTACCAAATTGACACTATACAGTCAAGGATAAAACGAAACAGTGTTTTTCCTTGAAGTCATTGACGATGTACCCCAACAATAGCAGCCTGTTCTTGAGGAGGTACCCCTAAACCCTGAATTTTATTTTCAATTTTTGAAATACATTGCGACATTTTAGTCAAGATTTTGAACTGGATAAATTCAAATCAAAGAAATATTTTAGAAGGTCTTATCTTATTTGATTTATTTTTATAGTTTTATTCATAAATGAATATTAATTTATTGTATTTTTTATTTATTATATATTTATTAATACAGATATAATAAAAAAAATATGTAATAAAAAGCATGACGTTCTGGAACGGGCCGTTCTGAATTCAGAACGGCCCGTTCTGGTTTCTGATTTTTTCACGAATTTTGGCGTCCACGTGCGCATCCACGTGGCATCCACGTAGATGTCACGTAGCCAACAATTAACTCCGTCTAAATCATTTGGACGGAAGTCCCAAATTGCACTAATTTAAGTTATTAGGGACCAAATTGAGACCAAAAATTAAAGTGGGACTAAATTGAAAATATTAAATAATGTAAGGGACGAAAAGAGGTTTTTAACCTAAAAGGAAATAAGAGAGAATAAGTGAGAATTAATTTGATAGAAAGTAAGTAGGAAATAAAGTGGAATAGAGTGAAATTTGTAGTTATTTAGTAGAATGAAATTAGTTGAGAAATAAAGTGAAATTAGTATTTACAATTTCTACTTTACCCTTTTTTATAATATATTTACAAAATCGATTATGGTTTGGTGCTATAATAGAATTCACGATATGATTGAGTCACACAGACAATTAAGTCATCAACTTTTTTGTCTTAAAATTCTTTGCAAATCTTCGCATATTTAAGACGTAAGAATTTTAGTGTGGACCTCAACTTATTTACACAATAATCATCTTGCGCCTTCTCTCCTAAACACGTTTGATTTTTTAATTTTCGACAATTCCCTCTGTAACACCCAGTTTTTTTATATGGCATTTTCATAATTATTGATGGCATTTTCGTAATTTTATTAAAGTTATAGGGGTAATTTGGTAACTTGGAACGGGCTGTTCCAAAAATGGAACGGGTCGTTCCAAGCATTAAAAATGTGTTGTTTTTGTTGTTTCGGAACGACCTTGGAATGGGCCATTCTGGTATGGAGAACGGGCCGTTCTGGAAGCAGTACGGGCCGTTTTGCTAAGTCTAGAAGAAGAACGGGCCGTTTCGGAGGGAGAACGGGCCGTTCTGCTAAGATTGAGAACGAGTCGTTCTGGTTTCAGAAAGGGTCGTTCTGCTTTCTGGGAACGGGCCGTTCCAATTGAGAAATTTGCCCACGTTTGAAGGCTCCGGAACGGGCCGTTCCGAAATCAGTACGGGCCGTTCCGGGGACCCCAGGATGCCTATAAATAGAGACTGGGGGGGTGAAAAATTATAACTGAGTGAAAAGTGAAAATTCTAGAGAGAGAGAGAGAGAGAGAAAGAAAGAGAGAGGAGGAGAAAAGAAAAGAGGAGAGAGAAAGAGGAATCCAGTAGAGGAGGTTCTGCCAGGGGAGAGAAAAGAAGAGGGAGAGGAGAAGATTCTGCCCGAGTTTCGGTTCTTATCTAAGGAAAAGAGAGGAGGAGGTTCTGCCCGAATTTCAGTTCAAGTTTATCCAAGTAAGAGTAGTGCTTATAAAATTAATCTAGTACATATGAACATGATAGGAATAGTATAATTTTAATATGCTACTTTATGTGGAGATTTTCATTTCACATAGTATAATTTGGATCAATTGATGGTTGTTTTAAATATTTAATTAATTATATTATTATTATATTGACAAATTGGCATGGTTATGGTTATGTTTAATTATGGAATATGCTATGTGTATGTGGTTTGGAAAAGTAAATAGGACTTAAAGGAGTAAGGTTATGGTATGGATTGGGAGATCTCTTGGTGAGATCAGGATATAATCTTTGGAAAAATATGGAATTTGGGAATCCCATGGTGAGGATTCCAATGTGGAACTTTTCCAAAGGTTATATGATAAACCACTTCAGATGTTAGGTGGATTCTGAAGTACTCCTCTAAGTATTCTATTTGCTACCGGTATGGGGGCAAGGCCGAGTCATACCGATGGATGAAGTGGCCATGATCACCAGGGTTACGTGACGACGTAATCCAACTGTATATTTTCCATGAGAGGTTAGGTGTGTGACATGGGTTGCTGACATGTTTCACCGTATCAACACTTGGTTTGGATGGTGTTGAGGCCAACATTTGGTTTGGATGTGTTGGTTACATCATGGATTATACAGTGGTGTGACTTTGTTTTGGATATGGAATATGTATACATATGGTATGGATTGTATACATTGGTTATGGATTATTTTATTATCATAAAATATGTATACATTGGCATGGACGTGTATACATTATATTTTGGGTTGGTCTATATTTAGCTTGAAAATGACTTGTTGGTCTGGATAAATACTGTGGATAAATATTTGTTTAATGATATTTTATTATGATGTACTATGATTGGTTTTATATGTGCTAACCCTTATATTTCCATGATGTGGACTGTGATGATCTCACTATGTGGGGGAGCAGATCAGGTATGAGGCTTTGGGATAACAAGGAGTCTTTTGGATAGCTGCTTTGAGAAGTGGCTAGGTTTAGAGCTTGACCAGCACCTAGGGTGTCTTATTTTGATGTTTTCATGACGTTGTAATTATATTATCTTTTTGGATTACTGTATAACTTTACTGAGGATGATGACTCTGCTATAGAAGATTATATTATATATTTTGGAAACA